AAATTTCCTAATCATTAAATTAGATCATATCACAAAATGGATAGCATCGAAGTTGTATCCAAGATCACAACATAAAGGGTCCATCGTTTTTATTGGCATAGAATTATGTAAAAATTTAGGTTTCTAAGGGTCATTATTTTGGACAGTGGAACTCAGTTCGCCAGCACTGCCATGGTTGATTTCTGTTATGACTTGAGAGTTCAAACAAAGTTTATTTTTGTTGTCCATCCACAGGAGAATGGGAAAACAGAATCCTCAAACAAAGTAATACTAAAAGGGATTAATAAGAAGCTCAGTGACGCCAAGTTACACAAAGTATTTTGGGTCATATCAAACCACTCATAATTCTACTATCAAGGAATTTCCACTCACTCTAGTATACAGGGCGGGTGATATGTTTCATGTCAAAATCGACACGCTCTCATGGTTGTTAGACAAGTGAATTTAAGCACAATATGGGGTGAATTGTGGTATTTAAAATTCGTGATTGATTTTATACTTTTCTTGATTAAGACCGTGTTAGTAATTTTGTTTGTTTAAATTGAATCAGAAATAATTAATGAAAATTAAATAGCGCAAATACAAAGGATAAAGTCGTAAAGATTGCACCATAGAGTTATACAGGTTTAGCTGAAAGTTGGCCTAATCCTGTCCCTAAGAGGTCTTCTTGAGATTTTGACTATAAACTTTGTGAGGTTTTATTGGTTATGCCCACAAACTTTTATATAAGTTGATCTTGAGACATCTTAATTTTATCTTCTATTTGATGAGATGACGATTACCTTGTATGATATCTCTAGTCTCTTCCATCTACCTTTTGTTGGTAACTTCTCCATCCTTTTGGTAACGAACCATCAACTTGCATGTATGGTTGCTAAGACATACCTTTGTATATGTTGATGAATTCATATGGGAACCCATTATAGGCCATAAAGTGCAATTGGAGTTCGATGACACTGCTTTTTTAGGGTTATCTACGATGAAAGAGTTTTGTGGATGCATATTTAGCTGAATGGTGTTTGCGACAGTTTGGCTAGGTTCAGGGAAATCCTAAACCAGTTCCCGTTGTACCCTTTAGGGGCATTAATAGATGATTTATGTCTAAAATTATGAGCAGTGTCATTGCTATTATAGAAAATGCAGTGGAGGTGTCTTTTCTTGGATAACGTTTAGATGGTTATTTAGAGTGGCACTTTTGAGTATCATATCCTCGCATTATCCCACTTGTCCAACTTGCATATGATGTTGGACCTTCACATGATGAAGGACATTCTAATGTGCCACCACCTCCACCTAGTATGATTGACAGTGGCAGAAGTGGATGATATCACTTATCTCTGGTAACCTCATGGGTTGTGTGAACCCAAATAATGGGCATACTTTTTATGGTGTACCAGTTTAGATTTTATTTGTTTGTTCATTATTTATTGTCGCTGACATTATTTTGGGTTTGTAATAAAATATTTGTATATTGTTGATATTTTATCTTAACATTGTGTTAGATGAAAATTAGCATTACATTACTGCAGAATGAACATAACTTAACATGAACATTGCTTAATATAGCTTAACATGAAAATAACTTAAACATTGCTAGATGATTCAGGACGTTTCATCATCTTCACAATATCATCAACAAATCTCGCAATTGTCGCATCTACCTCGATTGGAGCATTTGTTTTGTATCCATGAAACGTGCTCCATATACCTTTTAAATCTTCATCGGTCTTCAACTCATAGTTATTAAACTTCAACTTTTCCTCGTTATCAGTCGACGGTGAACAATACTCGATCTTAACCACCCTTCTATTGTCTGGGTAGTGTAAGAGATTATCTAATTTGGGTTTCAGAAAATCAAAAAGGGTGTCCTTTGTGAGCCTAAAATCAATAGGAGATACCAATGTGAGATATCATGTCGTTGAAGTACACAAATGCGGAATACCTAACTTGAGACATTGCGATGAATATTTGTTAACAACACATGAAGCCTATTTATACAAGTGTTATATCATTATGCAACACACAAAAGTGTCGGTGGAGTCGCAACCCTACAAAAGTATCGGCACAATCACAACCGCACAAAAATAACTTTATTTAATTTTTAATAAGTGAAACAAAATATCTGATATTCTGATTTTTTTAAAACTTCCAATAAATATGCATATTTCAAATAATCCAATAAAAAATATGTACCAAATTTTTGAACATTATCAAAATGTATGGAGGTATCATGTACAAGTTGGAGGTGCCAAAATTTCTCATCGATCCATTAACTAACCATTCAATCTAAATCTATTCAATTTACTATACTAATTTCAAAAGGGCTGCATGACCTTAGGCTGTTCTTCCCATTAAGTTAATCCAAGACTTCTCAGTTTATCAATATAATAATATATTTAATAATAATATAAGAAAATAAAATACTATTTAAAACAAATTGATTATGACGCTAAGCAAGCATGGGGCGGTGGCATAATCTACAATGATAAGGATCTCATATATATCATAGGATAATAAAGAATCTATAAATAGAGCATTTTATTTGTCTTTCTTTATACTTTATCAGTTATCACTTTCTATTTTCTTAACTAACTTTATTTTCTTTGAATCTTTGGTATAAGATGGAAAATGAAGAGCGTCTGTAAATGTGGACTCCATCAAAAATGGTAGGTCCAATTAAAGCAGCCCCTGTTTGCCGACCACATCCTTAAAGTTTTTGTCTTTAGAATAATTTTAATACACACTCCCTACCTCATGCATTGCATATGGGTTCCTGTCTCATTATATATATATATATATATATATATATATATATATATATATATATATATATATATATATATATATATATATATATATATATATATATATATATATATATATATATATATATATATATATATATATATATATATATATATAATCGGATACCTTAAAACACAAGAGTTAGGGTTATAAAAAAGAAAACAATAAGGATTGGTTATTAAACTGAAATTCTTTTCTTTCTCTTAAAACAAGATTATAAGTATACAAGAATAACAAAATAATATCTCTCTTGAAATTATAATTTTATCTTCCTATTTTTCCTTTCGACAAGATTGAGAAACTAGTATGCTATTTATAAGAAAAATAGCACATTAACCTAATGGATTTTTTTAACAATTGTCCATTACAAGCTAACTTAAACAATTGGACTTACAAGCAAGACCCAATTCAATATGCTAACAACCCTAGCAATATTGACTAATGCATGTTAGAACAGACTTCGACTACAACACGTATTACTCGCAAACAGACTTCGACCATATTAGAGTTCGATCCAATATCTCAAAATATATATATATATATATATATATATATATATATATATATATATATATATATATATATATATATATATATATATATATATATATATATATATATATATAAAAAGAGGTGAGAATCAATTTACGAGTAAGTTTTTTTAATTTATTCTTAATTATAGTCTTTAAATTAAATATACCTTAATTGTTAATTAAGTAAAATGTTAACTTAATCATTAAATTATATTTATTTAACGGGTGTGATTTAGAATAAGTAAAAAAAAAATTATTTTTTATCCAATATATTTCTTTATGCTACTTGTGGTCCTTTCCTATGTAATTGACATTAAATACTGAAAATGAGAGAATCCTTTCTAATAAGGAAATATTGTTGAAACAAAAGCCTCATAGCTAAGAAAGAAAATGTTGAGATACACACAACCAAGATGCCAAGAATTGAACATATAAAGTCTTTCTAATTTGAGAATATATTCTTAATATTGATCCAACATTCTACTAACTTGCAACTTATGTTCTTCTCATTGAAAGATAAACTCAACCCTACACAAACTTGAAAAAGCTATAATTGATGGAACATCTTTTACATTAAATTAAACCAGCTTACTTAATAGTATACTACAAATTTATTTTATGTGCTACCATTATAAAGCAATTGATTGATAAGGATGAACCATAATGATTGTTATTGAAATCAAACTACTTTCCTTAGTAGAGCCAAATTCACATTTATAAAGAATTGCATAAACAATGCAAATTGCTTCTTTTGTACATATCTTATCACTTACACAAAACAAAAGATTTCTTTGTCAATGATTAAGAGAAGGTTAATTTAGATTTTATTTTTTTATTAAATCAGTTAGAGGATCAAATTAGCATCAATATTTATATACTTTGAAATTTAAAATTTAGTCACAAGACAAAAAGAAAATCATGTTATATAAATACTTCTATCTTCATCGTTATAAACAACATCATTCATAATATAATATCAGTTTTTGACATAATAAGTGTTTAGAGATAATAAATAGATATGGTCGTTCCGTTTAGATATGTCTTATAAAAGTCAATAGAAAATAGAGCGGCACAACATAGACATAATTAAAAGTATAAATTTAAAATTTTGTTTCGTTCCGCTGAAAAATAAGGTGGAGCAGAGAGGGCATGCTAGTCTTGCATTCTTAAATGTTCAAAATTAAATATATTAGAGGACACAGATATAAAATCGTGATATGTTTTGAAAAATAACAGACATGTCCAATAGATCAGGTCTATTTTTTTACCCTTGAGCATCTGGTGTGTCCATATCGGAGTAAGTGATTCATAGCTAAATACTAACCAATTTAAATATTATTACATATTTTTTATATTAATGACAAAATTACTAATAATTCATGTTAAAAAATACTCAAGCATATAGTAGGTCCCCAAAACCACCTATTAGTGCAAGTCACCATCAAAGAAACACTATCTTATGCTATATTCAAACTTGATCATCTTCCAAACCACTATTGAAAATAAACAAAAAGAAAAACCAAACCATAACCAAAAGAAGAAGAGAATCTCTCTCTCTCTCTCTCTGGTTGTTTGTGTTTCAAGCTTTCAAAACCTTTTCTTCCTAAACTACCTCACATGAAAACCAAAACCACAACAAAACCTTCTTCCCTTTCTTGAAAAATGGTTCAAAGAAAGGTCCCAAACAAGCTTAGTATCCAATCACAACATGTTAAATCAGAGAAATTTTCAACAAACATGAAACTATCTTCATCTTCTTCTCATCAACAAAACCAAGATGAAAAAAGTAAACTTTTTGATAAGAAGAAGAAAATGAAGAAATCAAACTCAATCAATCTCTCTGATCTTGAAACTCTTCAACTTCATTCAACACCAGTTTCAAGAAAAACTACAAAACAAGATGGTTCACCAAATTACATGAAGCCCACAAGTAGTTCACAATCAAAAACGGAACTTTTTCATGTAAGTCTTAAAAAAACTCAATCTTGCTCTGTTTCCAAGAATCTTGATAGAAAAATTTCAAGTGATTATTCAAAAGCTGCATGTAAAAAACCTAGTTTGAGTTTGGTTAGAACATTAACAAAAACTACTAGTTTTAAGGGTTCTAGAAATTTTCCTAGAAGAGCTACTTGTTCTTCCACTCTGAAAGATTCAAACTTTCCTTCATATCTTGAGCTTAATCATGGTGGAACTGAGTTAGAGGGGACTTCAGTTATGAAGGTTTGTTCATATAGTTATTGTTCTCTTAATGGCCATCATCATCATAATCATGGTGATTTGCCTCCTTTGAAGACGTTTGTGTCTTCGAGGAGGCGTGTGTTGAAGCGCGTGAAGCTCGAAGCATTGAGTCCTCGGAGTCGAAGATTGAAGACGACGTGTGAGGTTGAAAAGAAGGACTGTGTTGTTGAGCGGAATGTGTTTGATGAAAAGTCTGAATGTGATGAAATTGATATGGATTTCTTCATTGAAATCTATGCTAGTGGAAATAAAGATGGGAAACCGAAAGGAAAAGATGAAATTGGACAAATCGATTTTCTCGAAGAGGTTGAGGAGTATGAAGATATCGTCAAGTCTACATGTGAAGATGATGGTGTAGAAGCAGATTTTCTGAAAGAGGTTAAGAATCAAGAGAAAAACGAAGATGCAGATGAAGAAGAACAATCTAGTTGGTCTCATGAAGAAATGAGTATGGAAGATGTCGACAATAACACAGATGATTCTGATTTTGAAGCCGAAGCCGATGATATGAAGTGTGATGAGGAACGGTTCTTTGGATTTGATCAAGAACTTGATGCTGATTCTTCGGTTTACACAGACGGGGAAAATGATTCGAAAGATGAATGTTTGTCTCAGAGTTCTCATGATGTATCAGTGACATGGTTAGACGATATCATTAGCAGCTATTACGATGACATTATTCTGTTTGACGAAACACTGAAAGAATCCAAATCTGAAGAAATCATCTATCTTGAAGAACAACCTGATGATGGCATGATTTGTTTTGTCCTTGATGACAAAATCGGAAGCAACGAGACTCAAGAAACCGGTTACCCTACTAGTGACATCGGTTGTGACCAATTTTCTCTGGCAGATGAAATATTTGATTACCTAACAAATTCTGAAGAAAAAGTCGACGAGACTAGCCAAGACAACAAAGATTTCAATAGAGGGGAGAAGAACCAAATTCAATCGTCTCCGAATGAATTTGAACTTTGTCCCTTGAAGCTAACAATGACAGACGAAACTCTTACTGCTGACGTGATAACTCATGGACACGACAACCATATTCCATTAGTCGATGTTGTTGAAGAAGGCATCAAACATATTCAAAATCAAGGAAAAGGTAATAAAAGAGCAAGTTGCATAGTCGATGAAGAGGAAAACGCAAGAGAGAATTGGAAAGGTGTGATTAGAAGAAAGAGATGTGTTGACGACGATGATGAAATGAGGAAGTTCAATCCAAAAGATCCAAATTTCCTTCCATTGGTTCCCGAAAAAGAGAAAGAAAAAGTCGATTTGAGGCATCAAATGATGGACGAGCGAAAGAATGCGGAGGATTGGATGGTTGATTGTGCACTAAGGCAAGTTGTTAACAAGCTTGCTCCTGCTAGGAAGAAGAAGGTTGCATTGCTAGTTGAAGCCTTTGAAACTGTTATACCTAAATGTGAATCACATTTGAGAAACAATTCAAGGTCTGTTCATGCATGCTAGACACATTCAAGCTTGCAGCTGATGAATCCTGCTAAGGTAAATAAATATTGAACTTTCAATTTTTCTCATTCTTTCTTAATTCTTTTATCAATGATTTGCAATTGTTTCACTACTTTAGAAGTTTATTGACATGGAATCTTATTAGATTGAGAATAAAGTTTTGAGTACTAGTTAATGTTTGATTCCGCGTTTGGAGATTCTAGAATTGATTCTAGAGGAGTAAAATTGATTTTGACATGTTTGATTGCTTTTGAATATAATTGATTTTTCTCTTAAAATTAATTCTAATTTGAAGTTAGGATTTGTAGTTTGAGTCCAAACATGATTTTTACACTAAAATTTATTCAACTTTTCTTTTACGTATCACTTTACATTCAACTCTCTTTAATCAAAATCAAACTTTTTCACGCAGAATCAAAATTGCGGGAAGTGTTGCATGTGGCACTTGAAGCATGACCAATCTGAAGGAGTGGCTGATTTTCATGATCATTCTGAAGTCTGAAAGCAATTATGCAGCTTGAAGCTTTTAAGCACTTAAAAGTTGAAACTTCTAAAATGTAAATTGAAGCTCAAGAAAAGGAATTATGGTTCCAACTTTATGATTACATATGGGTTTGCTTTATAATAATTGTTTAGTGTGTAACTTTAATTATGTGTTTATTTTGTTGATGTTTGTATCTGATATACTAATACTTTGTGTGATGAAGGTTATCCTAATTGTGTCAACTTATTATTATAATTGTTTGTACTGTGTATCCATCAATGTAATAATTATTGTTAGTTTTATATTATCTTCATATTCTTATAATCAATAATATTTAAAAAATGCAGTTATAGCTAACAGAATAATTTTTTAATGCATTTGATAAATATTATAAGGAAAATTGAATAAAAGGTTTGTATATTATTGATTGAGAATAAATTAACATTGTGAGGAAAATCAAAGATAAAACAAAATAAAATAAAGAGTTAACACTTAACATTGAATATTCAGTATAGATAGTTCTATCCATTTGAAAGGTGATATAACCCATTTTCAATATATATAAGAAAAAATTATTCATGATGAATTAATCAAATATTGATTCATTCGTAGGTATCTTTAAATTAATCGTACATAATAAGTGAGAGAAGTATATTATAGTAAGAGATGAGAGAAACAAATTATATTCATTAGATTAATTTGGAATATCTACTCTTATGTTACCTTAACATCAAGTCATATACTATTTTCTACAATATCTACCCATTAAAATCAAGTGAAAAATAACACTTAAAATAATTGTAAAATTTGAAATTAAAAAATCAAACAAATAATGTGATAGAGAAGTTTTTTCTTGTATTTATAACTTTAAGATGGGGATATACAAATCCTAATTTGGAATTTTTTTCCAATAACCAAATAATAACTTAACTTTCTCAGTACTTTGTTATGAAAATCTCAGCCAGACAAAACTTAATGAGAACAAAATTCTTAGACCAAGGAAGAACATACATTTTTTAAAGAGACAAGGTAATATATTTATCTTCTAAACTTCTTAGAAGACGATTTTCTTCTATCTTTGAGACCAAAGTATTTATCAATATCCTCATCGTCTCCTGAATCATCGCCCCTCCGTTTCTTCCCTCCAGCTTCTTTCATTTTCTACACAAATATAATATGTATTATTCGTCCAATTTCGAAACAGAAATGGATAGAAAGACTAAAGTAGTCCAAAACATGGCTAAGTTCAATGTAAAATTTACCGTTGCTGCTAATCTTTTGGCTTCAGCAACACGCTCTTCCAAAAGCAAAACTTCCTCGGGTTGTGCAGGGTACTCTGGTAACTTTTTTCCTGAAAAACACTTGTATTTGTTAAGAATAAGAAAGTTTTACTCCTTCAAATGTCACAGCAAAGACTGAGAATATGCTCCCCACCTATAAGTTTCTCTATCTGAAGGAACCATTCCAGCTCATATTGGTTCACAAGGGAAATGGCAACCCCAGAACGCCCTGCACGAGCAGTCCTTCCCACACGATGAATGTAATCCTGTAGTTAACAAAGACAGAACTTCTCCAGTGAAAACCAAAATTTATATTTCTGCATTTTCTGTTAAATTAGACAACTCATCCTAAAATAGCCGAGAAATTACTAATAAATTTCTACCATTACATTAAGCCAACTTTGAACTTTTGATGTTAAAAAAGTATTACAGAGCACATCTTACTTTGGAGTTTGAGGGAATGTCATAGTTAATCACCATATCCACTGCTGGAATATCGAGTCCCCTGCTAGCTACGTCAGTACAAAGAAGAATATTGCAATCCCCAGACTTGAACTTATTCAAGGCTCCAAGTCGCTTGGGCTGTCAAAAGATATTAGGTACAAATTACATGAAGAAAAATAGAAGATAAGTTTAGAACAAATTACGATTATAATGCTGGATATCAGGTACAATTACCTGACTCATATGACCATTAATTGGGATGGCTTTCAAACCGAGATTTCTAAGAACCAAAGCAAGAAGCCGAGTTGCGTCACATGTCCGAGTGAACACCATTGATGTACTTCCGGCCATTTCAGTGAGAATATACACGAGGTAGCAATCCTAGGAAAGAAGCAAGCAATTGATGAACACAATAATCAAAAGCATAAAAGATAATAGTGGTGGTTCATAAACCCAAAACGAATGTAATTTTGTTAGTTTCAATCCAAATAGTCAATTTGAAATAAACAATGACATTTCCTCCGTAACATGAGTGCTCTCTCGTCTGCATCTAACACCATAACTCAATATTACTTTGTGTTAGAAATTACTTCTACTTTGCTAATTCTATTGTATTTGTCTATGTAACCTTGACTTGACTGTGTCACCTGTCAAAAACAATGAAAAGCAGCAAATATTTTCGAAAGGGAACTGATGTCAGCTTATGACATTCTTACTTAGATGGCATTTGGCATACAGATAATGAAACTAGATAGATGCTCTCTCGCATGCTTTTTAAGTTCTGTTCTGATCTAATCTACTTTTAATATATGTTGGAAATTCCGCCATCAATGTGGTTCGACACTAGTCGCCTAATTGCAACATTGGGATTGCCTTCATTGCAAGCTACAACCCTTTCATTGTGTTGGGAGTGAACCATGAAGGGGTAGGTTTAGTTTCCCATTACCTAGAGTTATGGCCTATGTAGTGCTTATAAAGCTTAAACAGCAATGCCTTACAAACCAGTTTTGTAAGGTTGAGTTAAGTCCTACCCAATTCTAAGAATATATACGCCAAAAAGCAAACACATTCGTTTACCCTCGTTTGATGCAGGGTACCGATACATGTTTTTAATAAATAAATAAATAAATAAAACATAAGTGTAAGAAGTTCAATGAAAAATTGGTGGCCGAAATAATTAAAATCCAACATTTTTTTGGATAACGGGAGAACAGATACCTTATGTTTTGCTGGCAAGAAGCGGAGTTGTTGCTTCAGTGTGTCCACGGTTGAATACTTGGTTGATGCTTCGATCTAAAGTGAATATAAAATTATGAAAAACCTGTGTAAATACCAGTAAACCACAGTTCCTTCCCAAAGAAAATTCTCAAATTACATTCTAAATTACCTTCACAGGATTTCTTAAACAAACCCTTTGGAGCTTCTCGACCTGAAGTAGCAAGAGTGCAACATTTATTAAAAAAGAAACATTAAAAATGAATGAATTACACAATCAAGCATCTGCAGTGTATAAGCATTGCATAAATTCAATAGCATTTGCAACTTAAGATCCTAAAAGGAGCAAGTGTTATTATAACAAAACATAAGAGATTTGACCTAGAACCGTATGATTACTTACTTTTTAAAAATATATAAGCCAACAACTGTGAATTTGAATAATGTTAATTTACGTTCAACTAGAATTTAAGCATACAAAAAAAAAACTACTTAAAATTGCTACTTTTATAATGTTTGATGCAAAAAAAGCTTTCCTGAAGAGCCTATATAAAATGATCTCAGTAAATGAATAAACCTGCATATTTACCTTCTTTGTCATTGTAGCAGAAAAAAGGAATGTCCTCCGCTCGCGAGGGATCATTCCTAAAATCTCATTAAGTGATTCTTCAAAATCCTCATTCAACAGCCTGTCTGCCTCATCTAAGACCTGCTCAAAAGGAAGAGAAATCAAACAAATTTAAATACACATAGGAATATACTTGAAGTATAGTATTTCTAGTAACAAGCTCTCATTTCACACAAAAATTAATATATTTAATTCATTGAGGAAAATCTGGCCCATGAGAAATTTATAGTTTTGCATGCACAACAATAGTATTTATGACCATAAAAAAGATTCACATTAATTTATCAATGAGAAAATAAACTGATTATTAACCTTTGGATGTAAAAGATGAAACTAATGCTTAAAATAAAATTAATGAATAAATCATACCAAGTATTTTAATTTACTAAGAGAAAATCCTTTGGTGTTTTTTAGGTGATCCAAGACACGGCCAGGAGTCCCAACCTGAGCAAGAAATCAATATAAATAAATCATAAGCAAAATACAGGTCTGATGAAGTAGCAAACTAAAAGAAGCACTAAATCAACACACAATCTCAATAGTCAATCTTGTACATGCAGAACCTGCAAAAGTTCAGTTATCTCTTATCAACGGTATTTATCATTTTTTGCATCATTCTTGTGCAATGTTGATAGAAGAGCACCAGTCATGTTGGTATATGTATGAAGAAATAAAAACAACAGAGTCTGGGAGGGACTGAATCTTAATTATATAGTTAGGTGGTTAACTTAATAGAAGAGTAGTACCAGAGAATGGGTCTGAAATTTTTCAGTTAACCGAAAGGTGAGGGAGAGAGAGCCAAGCTTTGCATGACAGCTAGAGGGAAGACAAGTACTATTGTGTCTCTCTATCTACACTTAACTGAAGATAATGAAATAGTGGTTATGGTGCTTTAAAGATTAGAGAGGTGGTGAGTGCTTACTATGCAGTTACTTAGAGATTAGAGAAATGGTAGCCACCAAAAGCTTTTATTATTATTATAAATAGTTCAAGATTATATATGAAATATGTTTCTCTTGTTTCATTTGCAACTGTTATGAACCAATAGTACTAACAACAATAACTTGGGCATCGTCTCACCCAATCGGTTACTGTACATATGTTTTTTAGTCTGAAATCAATTGCGGAATCTATTTATTCTTCCGACTGATAAAAACCAAGTTGAATTTCAAGATTCACAAAATCAAAACAAAAGTCCAAGGAAAGGGCGTAGGGACTCTGAGAAGATACATGTCTTAAGAGGTTTCCAAATTTCAAAGTTAATCTTTCATAAATCAAATGAGATAGAAGCTGGGACCTATTTTGGGTATCACTCACCTATTACCCTAATGTTCTTGATGTAAAAGGAACAAATGAAATCAAAGCATGCCTGCAGCAGTAGTAATACTTACAATAATATGAGGCTTCTTTGCTAGTTTGAGGGATTGTTGTACCATGTCAATGCCTCCAACAATCTACCGAAAAAGGAAAAAATACCAAATTACCAATCAAATAGAGTATCTAGCATGCATGTAAATAACCACCATATGATAAGAGAAAACAAAATGAACTTAAGTTGTGTAGTGAACGGGAAGACATCAAATCCATGCATAACGAATCATGTAAGAAAAACATATTAGAACTCACCGCAGCACATTTGACACCAATTTCAGAACCTAAAGCTTCAAACTGTTCAGAAATTTGAATAGCTAGCTCCCTAGATTTTAAGAAAATGTTAGAATAGAAGAATTATACTAGTTAAATATTTAAATATCAATGAGAATCAAATTATATGAATATCAATCAAACTCATGATCAGTTATCAAAGTATCTAACCTTGTGGGAGACAATACACAAGCAAAAAAATGGTTCGGCTGTGGTGCTTCTAAGAGTGCATGCAATATAGGAAGAGCAAAAGCCCCGGTCTTACCCGAACCCGTTTGGGCAAGTCCAATCACATCTTTTCCTGAGAAATACATAATACAAAGCAGTATTTTAATAAACTTAACTTAAACCATCATTAACTACGCCACTTTCCCGAACATATGCAGTAAATATAATATTATTGAAAACAATAGTGCAATAACTTTGAAGCAAAGATCACATCTAACCTTCTAATGCAAGGGGAATTGCTTCAATTTGAATTTTTAGCGGTGATTTCCAACCCAATTTGTCACAAGCTTCCACCAATTGCTCAGATAAGCCTAGATCATTAAACGATTTCGTTTCTTGATTCTCTTCCTCCATTCTCAGTTTCTAACCTATGAACAAATTTCAACATCATGTAACTAGTCATTCCTTGAACCACAATTTGAATTGAACCATATTACCGGTATCGTAAACAAACTCAAAACTTCAAAACTCACAACAGAAATTAACATATAATGCAGTAAGATTCAATTATCAAACAGAATAAATCACCTTTATAGTTGTAGAGTACAATAAACCCTTAAGATTTTAGAAAGTATGTATCACACTGAGCTGAATAGTTAATCGCGGAGAATAGCGGAGGGAAGTGGCCGCGGGGAACTGGAACGACGGAGGAAGTGGACGACCGGAAAGAGCTACGACGGAGAAGTGAACGACCGGAAAGAGAGACGATGCAGCGGTGGACGACCGGAAAGAGCGACTGTGAAAGAGATAGAGGGAAAAGAGAACCTTTTTGGTTCGTTTGACAAAGCATTAGGTTAACATTGGTTTAAACGGGCCGGGCCGGGCCGGGCCGGGTCTTCGATAAATCTTTCAAACACCCCCTCTTGGGTTCATACTCCCACAAAATCTTCATTTTATGTTGTGATATTGTTTTTTTTTTAATTGTCAGTGACATTATTAGTACTTATCATCCTTAAGTATTTAGTTTTGTGTAAGTCCAATATTTAAATATAAGGTTTAGCTAAATTATTCTGAAAATCAAATTTTTAAATATTTAAAATAGTATCCAATTTCTGTCATACACTTATATTTATTCATGAATTCAATCAAAATGTTTTTTTTAGAAAATTAATTTCTTTATCTTTGAATATCCAAATTAATTACAAATCAATGCAGAAATTTTCCTATGTTAAATCCATTTACTAATAAATTGTTTTTTAAAAAGTTTTTTAATTGGCAATTAAAATGTGTGTCATATAAACATTATGTAATCCATGTGTTATTCATCTCTAAAAAATATATAATCAGAATTCTCATCAACATATCAGTCCAACTATTGTAAGCTTTATGATGGAGCTACTTTTATATTTAGGTCGAGGCATATTGTACATATATTTGAATTTATTGTAAGACATACACTGTATAACTATCTTGGAGTTTATATATTCAAAGGCAACCTTAGAAATCATCATCATCAAATCATAAAGGCCACCTTCTTTCTATGATTTGTCTGGTTCAGTTCGTCCAACAATCATACAAGGCATGCTTCAATGTAGTCTTAGGATTTATGAATGGTCAATCAATCTTCTTAACAAATTAGATTCTTATATCTGAAAGTTTGTGTAAACAAGTAGCATAGATAGTAGAAAGTTGATTACTAGATCTTGAAAGATTATTTGCTCACTTTTTTCTAAATGAGGTATTGGTCTTAGAGATATTAAGACAATACATAAAGTTGATTGTTCATCTCTTTGTTGGAAGTTGTTGACTCAATAATCAATGATCTTTTATACTTATTAGTAGATATTTAAGGCATAAAAAATCAATCATGCATCATATTTATTCTTCTATATGGTCTACCATTAAGCATTCATTTTCCTTTCTAGAGAAAGCTACTAGATATGTGGTAGGTTGCTAACGGAAAGAATATTGATTTATGGACCGACAATTGGTTGGGATACAAAATTAAATACTTATACCTAATATTGTTAGTGGATATTCAATTTAACCAACTATTTTTTAGCTTAACTAATGTCTCAAACTCATCTTCAAGCTTGAGCATGTATTGCATTTAACTCTTAATGGGAAAGTGTCACATATTTGGACATGTTCTCTAAATGGTGATCTATTTTTTAAAGATGTATACAAACGTTTCAGGAGGAACCACATTTAACCTTCTTGGACCAAATTCATAAATATCCCTACCTACCAAATGCTAAGTCATTAGTAACTTGGAAGCTAATGCACAATGGTATTGCAACAAAAGACAACCTGATTCAAATGGAAATGCATATGATTTCAATGTGCTCTCTTTGCAATCATTATGGGAAATTATATACCCTTTTTTTCTTAAATGCAGGTACATGTTACCTTCCTGGTACTGGATAAGGTGATTATTTGACATAAACATCGATAGAACTAGTTACAAAAACTTATTCTTGATGGTAGAAGTTAGAGCTCTCAAATCTATAGTTTGATCATGATCATCGTCATAATATTTATTTGAAAATTTTGGTACACAAGAAATTATATCAAGTTTCAAAATGGTAAAATTGACTTTGACAGAGACATTTTCATGTTAAACAATTGATTTATATGAAATTTGTTTCTTTCAAGGGGCACAATTATTCTTCAACTCATAAGTTTAAAATTATTAAATATTTTGACATCAAATGTCAACCTCCATCCACATCTATAATCATATAAGTTAATTAGTGTTTTCCTAATCATAAAAGGATTAAGTCCAACACAGATGGAGCTTCAAGAGAAAATCATGGAACAACAACTTGTGGTGACATATTTAGAGATAATTTAGTAACATTATTGGAAGCTTTATCAGTTAAAGTTTGAGTTTTCACCTCCTTTCAAGCTGAATTATTTGAAGTTATGTTTGCTATCGAATATGCTAAGAGAAGGAATTGGAGAAATCTTTGGCTTGAAATTAAATCAATATTGTCCATTGATGCATTTTTTAATATGAATAATGTTGATTTATATTTTTTAATTAAATGAAAGAATACTTTATGATCTGGTTTGATCAGAATGGATCATCGTGACCTTCAATGTAGGGCAGCAACAGTGGCTGTAGGAGAAGAGGGGGGTGTACCTGCAAGGTACTTCGATGTCAAAGTAAGTTTTGGGCTAGAGAGAGCAAGTACAAGTGTTTAGGTATGAGTTAGAATGATTTGAATACCTAACCCTCTCAAGAGAGAGGGTATTTATCATATTCCCCTAGTGCGGGGTCAAGGTCTCCCATGTGGCCGAAATATCTGGTTGACCAATGGAGGACTGCCAGGTGGAAGATCTAGCGCATGATATTTGACATGGTCCAACTGTACTCGTGAATTCCAAAGGGACAGTTGGTCGCATGAACTGTCAAGCGCGTGAGGGGGATGTCCCCAACAGCTATATTCTTCAACAGTCATATTGTGTCTAACGGATATATTGTGCCTAATAGTCATATTGTCTTTATCTCCTTACTAAGCCTTGCCTAAAGCTGGATTGGATTGGGCCTTGCCCAACTGTGGGCCATGTACTAGTCTAATCCAGAATAGAAGCCCGTCAAGTCGTTGCTCTAAGGTGAGGAGTAATAACTTGAGTTAGCCTATTTGGTCGTTCGTCGGGCAGGAAACGCGTCGTGAGGAGGCTTTTTTGAGGTCGTCATTATTCAAACGAAAATCTTTGGGGACATGTCTGTCAGTAGTATATGGTTAGTGTGGCCGACCGTTGATCGCTTGCGTTCTTCCTTGGTACGCGAAGATGTGGTCGCGGAATGGACGTTTTACATCGACCAGACTTACACAGAAAATGTCCTGTCGATGAGACTTCTACTCGGATAATATCTTGTGACTCATTGAGGAGGATGTGCCCCGCGGGGAGGTAGAGAGACTTGTTCTGAGGAATGTGAAGGGTTAGGCTTGAAAATGTCAATCGAAAGCTTCCTCTTTTTCCATGTGTGATGGTGTAATCAATTTTGTTAAAGCCTAAGAGGTCTAGGCTGGTTAGAAAATGATGGCTTTTTCCCTTTGCGTTTCCCTATACGAGCAAGTGCTTATAAAAATAGGGGAAGAGGATTCATTTTCACACTTCATGCAAATTTCTCTCCTCTACCCCTTTTGCTATGCAACACTTGTGGTCTTGCGTTCTTCATCGGAGTACTCTTCGCTGCCATCAGTCCCCCTCTTCTTTCTCCAGATCTTCATCTTCAACCTTCTAACTCAAGTAAGTTCTTCATCTTTGCTTATTAGAACACATGAATTTCTGGAAATAGCTTGAATTTCCCGCCGAAGCATGACTTTTCCGGTTGAAGTTCATGCATTCTTCGATGAACACGTGAATTTTCTGGGAAATTCATGAAGGCCCTGAAGAACATGAATCTAGGATGTTGTGTATGACTGTAGATTTCCTAGGTTATTGTGTGAAACATATTATGTTTGTGGTCGGGCAAGACGCCTCCTCGACGCTGAGGATTTTATTCTCGTGTGCCCGATAAGTCATAGTTGTCGATGGGCTTATCCCCTTTTGGGCCTTTTAAAGTCACAGAGACTTGTCCCCGTTCTTCGGGGAGGGGTTGCGCCAAGGCCCTACGCTGTCGACAAGGGCTTGATTCGAGGAGACATCCTCGTACTCATTCCCCGCCCTTTCACTTGATTTTTGGTGGAAGGGTGGATTTAATATTTGTCGAATTCACTTTTGCTTCCTCTGCTTTTTAGGTGAAATGGCTAGTCGAAACGAAGGAACCGTCTCCGAGACTGAGGTTTTTAACAATGAGGTTGTGCCTCCTGCCGAGTATGTCATCGTTAAGTTTTCTCAAAGGGATCTTAGCTGGATCGACCAAGAGCCTTTGGTGACTAAGTCGACTTTCACCAAGTAGGAGGCCAGTTCTTTTACTCTCCTCGAGGATCGAGCATAGAATGCGCCCGCGAGCTGGAAGGTGATCAGCCCCACGGAGAACGGCCGAATATGCTTAGTGTATCCGGGGAGAAGGTTCCCAATGTACGAATTTGCATTCAAGGAGGCGGGGTATCTGTCGCTACTGCGAAAATAAGGTGCCGACAATGATAGAAGAGTCGCCACCTTTCGTTATTTATCCCTCAGAACGGGAAAGGAAACGATTGGAAAAACCTGACGAAAAGGTATAAGACAAGGGCATCGCAACCATTGTCTGGATTCGGGAGTCGGTTACACAAAGGGAAGGTATTAGCACCCCTCACGTCCATCGTACTCGATGGGTTCCACGCTTGTTGTGTTTATCTGACGGGTTGATTTAACTATCTACGCTAAAAGGTCTGGTCTAAAGAGAAAAGAAAATGACTCGGCAAAGTATCGCACTTTATGCCTACGTATTCCCGTCTGGAATGAGAAATCAGAGTCAA